GGCTGGGGAAGCAGGGGACAAAGCTCCATCTAGTGTATAAAGGGAGATGTCTGGGAGCTAGCGAAACAAGAAGAAATTCTGCAGAAGATGGCTTTTCCTAGCCCAGGCATGTTGGTTTTGTTTTGGTTTTTTTTTGGTTTGTGGGGGGTGTTTTTTGTTGGTTTTTTTTGTTTGGTTTTTTTTTTGATAACTTGTGAATAGGATTGCAAACACTTTGACTGTGCAAGTGTTAATTGAATAGCTTCAGCATCCTGACAGTTGATGCTCATTTTCTGTACCCTGGAGTGTGTACAGGTTAATACTGGCTTTAATACAGTTTTAAGTAGCCTACAATGTCAATTCTAGGCAGAATTAAATATATGTCCTTCTATTAAGGTTAGGATTTCTATAGCCAGGTTATAGGTCTGTGAAGAGAAGAGACACAGAAGTATAACGACGTATAAGGTTAACACTTTTAAAGTAGAATATCTTTTGACTTTTCCTGATGGATTTGTACAATCTTAAACTACAGTAAGTGTTAGCTAATGCAGTTATAAATGGACAAGACATTTTATTATCTGCTTTTAAAAACAAAAGAAGAATAACAAATCATCTTGTTTGTTCTGGAGGTTGCTAAAAATAGGTTTTATTTTTTTGTATTCTTTTCTTTTTCCCCTGAGTACTTGGAAAACCAATTGCAGTTCCTGAATGTGGCTTTGCAGCAGCCTTTCTAAGAGGGTGGGAAAAATATTTTCACTGTATTAGGCACATATTGGCAACTCAGTATCAGGCAGCTGCTAAATTTCTGAATTCAGCAAATGGTTGTATGGCAAAAACAGGCTACTACGATTTAATCCAGACTTTTTCTGTGGATAATGAAGGAAACATTTTTTGGTTTTCCTTAATCCACCAATGATGTCCCATTCTTATCCAAAAATATGCTGCTTGTCCTCGTACCTGTAGCACCTCATACCTGTGGTTCAGTGCCAAAGACCACTTGGCAGAATTTGTCGCTGCCTGCAGTAGTAGCTCTTTGAAATCTGTGGGAAGTTGAGATCGAGCACCTGCGTGGGTTTTTGTTGTTGTTCTAAGGCTTTTTATAGTTTCCAGCGTGTTGGGAATATTGGGGATTCTTCCTGTTAGAGGAGGACCAGGAGGAATAGAAGAAGGTAAGTGAAGGGAAGGTGAAGTTTGCATCCAAAGTGGTAGGTTGAGGTGAGGGGATGGTTTGTAGTGCTAACCTTTCTGAACCAAGAAGCTAAAGAAATAGGAAAGTCATTTTGCTCCCAGCAGCATGTTTGCCAAACATGTGTTTTGCAGAAACATGCAGCTGCTACCAAGTCCAGACTGAGAGCTGGTATAATATGGCTTTTTAGGGGCAGCAATACTGCTGGCTGCTGGGCTCCAGCAAGTCTGGAACTATACATCATTTCCAGGTGACTTTGCTGCAAGTTTATAAACCTGGTTGACTAATGTAGCGCTGTATAGTCGACTGCTGTAGCCTAAAATAACAGAAGGTGTGAATTGCTGCTCCACAGTAATGGTGGGTGCTCCCGCAGGTACTTTGCCAAGGTCACAAATGCTAAATAAACCAGATTAAACAAAACCCTGTTGCAAGAATTCGTGATTAACTGTAGTCTTTGCAGGATTTATTGGTTATAAACTAAGCGCCTGCCTTTATTTTTTGTCCTAGTAACTAAGGCAGATGTGAAGTTGAAGTCCAGTGAAACATTTTTTGGCTCTTGCCACTGTTTACATGATACAGGAGTTTGCAGTAGTTCCACAACAAATATAGCTTTGAACAGAAATAGCCATTCAAGTGCTATGCTTCTGGCAGTGCAGAAGAGATTAAGAGGGTCTAACAAAAAGGCTTGTAAATAGTTTTGAGTTGGCTGCTTTTTTAAAAAAATAAACCAATAGCTGTAATGTATTTTGAAAAGTTAAGGACTGGTATTCCTGCAGCAAGTTACATGGACAGCATGTCTCACTTAGTTGTCATTAAACTGTGCAAAAACATGGACCATGCTGAACAGTTTTACTTTAAAATAGCCTTTTTCTAGAACTGCAGCAGCTGTATTAATTTTTGCGATTTTATTTGGTTGCATAAAGTTGTTTCTGAGGATTTTTCCTGAGGTCTCCTCTTTCAGAAGAGCTCATGCTTTTTAGATGCAACATAAGAAAGATGCAGAACAAAAGGATGATTGCAAAATGAAATTAAGGCTGTGTATTAGCAGGGCTGTATTTCAGGTGTTAAGAAAAGACTTATGATAGATTAAGGAGGATCTTCTTGTATATGTTTTGATGCTTTGTGAAATCAGAAAGTATAAATGTTGCTTGTGTGTTTTTATTTTGATTGAGACTTCATTCTGTATTATGTTTTTGGTTTGATATTTTATTTACATGCCACCCCAAGTTTAAGTAATTACTTTCCTCGTTCCCTCTCTCTGGTGTTTATGAACAGTTTCTGGCTAGAAACAAGGTGCAGAATTTTTTTATGGGGGCCGAGGGGGGAATTGCCAGAACAGTCCCTGGAGATGCCAATTCCCCAGTACTCCAGCAGTTAAACCGACACTAAATATTTCTGTGAAAGACTGCAGTTCATGTAGATGTCATGAACTTAAAATAGATTTTACAGCTGTTGGATGGTGGGCGAAGAGGTCCTCTAATCAACACTTGCACTGACCTACCCCAGCCATCCTGTGCAGCTGCAGAGCAGATGCCGAGGTGTTCTGACATGACCCACAGCATAAACCCGGAGGTTGTAAGCACACAGAAACCGTACCCGTCTTGGGAAATCCCTGGGAGTGGTCGGGATTTGGGATAGGTACCTGGGGAGAGAGAGACCTTATTGCTGGATGTGGCTGAATTGAGGATGCTGCTGGATCCCGTGGTAGCATAGCAGTGCTGCCTGATGGACTGCTGGGGCTTGCTTTCTCCAGGAGTCTTGGTTTGGGATTACCCCATGTCAGGGATGTTGTAGGTCGCATTAAATGGCCTAAGTAACGGATCTGAAGGCTATCTTTTCTCTAGTTGTTTGTAGTTGAGTGATTCCTCCAGTGAACAACTGACTTTCAGCCTCAATTAGCAAGTTTGTAAACATCATTAATGCTTTCTTACATGGACAGCTGGAGCTTATCCCACCTTCCTGTCTGTGCTGTGGGTTCCCAAGACAGTAAGACTGATACATCTGTCCCGCAATTGCAGTGTAAATATCCACATGGCTGGTAAAGTAACTTGTTGCTTATTTAAGGCTTATTTCCTCCCCCAGTCATTCAGCCTGCACAGTAAAACAACCCTCTTTGCCCCAGTAACTCCTCCACAAATAGCCAAAAATGTAGAAGGACTATAAGCAATGCTTAAGGACTCTCAAACTGAAGTTTGTTTAAAATGTGTGGATGCTGAGGAATTGGTTTCTGCAGTCTGGAGGGTTGCTTTGTTAGAAAGAAAAGTTGCTAAAGACACTCCCTGATCGGATCAGGTCCTGTAATGAACAGTTAGTGTTGTGGCTAGAGATTGAAGTCAGAGTTTGCATAATATCTGTCCAAGATTATTTTAATGTTAGACTTGTTGCAGTAATGTGTTAGGGGTTGTTTTTTCCCCTTGCACATGGTATTGACTGTAACAAGCAAGTCCTACATGCTGATAACACAGACCCATCACGTATCGAGCACCGAATTCACTTGGTGGTTTTCATTGTGACTGTTTGGCATTCGTAATCATTTAAAGCAAATCTTCCATAAACGCTTTCCCTTTTGTTTCTTAAGATCCTGTTTGCTCAGCATACCAGAGCGAGGATGTCATCTGTGCGAGATGAGGCTTCGAGCTGCCTCGTCGTCTTTGGAAAGCATTGAATAGCACTGTAACAGTGGAGTCAGTAAGCAGAAAACCTCGGATGAGTGGAAGGGTTTAGGCTGGGAGTTGCTGGGTCACCGTAAGCCTCGAGGAGCGTGGTGGCTTTTTGGCTAGGAGGGAATCTGAGCATGCGGATGATGAGTACAAGCTGTGAACGCAACACGGTCAAGTCTTGGTTTCTGCAGGGCTGCCTCTGTGAATAAACTTGCTATCCGATGACAGAAAGGTGATGTGGAGTGAGAACTGGGCACTATGTAGTTGCAAAGTATCAAAAAGCGCAGTGATTATATGTCATCTTCCCTCTTGGCGACGGTGTTATCTTCTCTATTTACCCAGATAAAAGAAGGTAAATTCAATATTACAAAATCAAGAACTACAGAGGTTGTTAGTGGAGCGTTATCTCTTTGCTTTTTCTTTTATCACCTCTTGGTTGTTTTAGCTATCTGGCTTTTTGATTTGCAAATGTGTGTAGAGCTCTTTAGAGAGGGTAGTACCCATAGATGCGATGTCTGAAAAATGGTTCAAAAAGCTTTTGACAAGGTCAGGCTTTCAAGTGAAAGACAAACCTGCCTCATGCCATTTTTTTTTTTTTTTTGTAATATCTTCTCTAAGTTTGTGATGGCTTTGAAAGTTTGAGGAAGAGCACCAAACCAATATTGGGTAATGCAGTCAGCTACGTTTTAAATTCCTTTAACCCCTCATGGAACGTTTTGGGGAGCTTGAGGTATTTGTGTGTGTCGGTGTTGTTCACCTGCCTGCTCCTTTTCTGCCTGAGGGATTCAGCCTGTTTGGGCAGAGGTGAAAGTAGGGAAACGGTGTGTACACAGTCCCATTGAGTCTCTGTACTGGTACAGATGCACGTCTAGCTCTTGTGAGGTGCACCTCCAGTGGTTCCTGGCTGGAGGTTCCACCTGGTGAACCTTGAACGTGAAGGAGTTATGTCCCAGAAAACAAATTTGTCTTGCATTCACGCTTTTCCTTCTTCTTTTTGGCGATAAAGATCGTGAGAAAACTGTGCCATTACGGACAGCCCTTATCCACTTCTCCGATGGCACTAATGACCCGATCACACCCCTTTTAATTAACGAAGGGGAGAAGTGCTTTCAACGCCAACCCGCGTCTTCTGTTTCTCCCAGGCCCGCAGCGGGTTGTCGGTCCGCGGGACAGCGAGGGTGGTACAGCCGCCTGGGCACGGGTCTGAGGATCACGCTCAGCTCCCTGGTAGTGCCTGGCATTTATCTGTGCTTGCTGCAGACACGCGCCTTGCTCCGGGCCGTCTCCGTCGGGAGTTTGTGCAATACTCTCTCGCAGGTGAGGCAAGACGTAGCGAGATGCTGACTCCGAACTTCGGGGCTGCTCTGGAGTCCTTTCGTGATACCTGAAGACCTTGTGCGTGGCTGCCTCAACCCCCAGCTTCTTTTCTCCTCGGTAGGTGCTGGATTGCACAGGTCTGCAGTGCCGGCGGGCGCCGGGCATCGCTGCCCGTGTTGCTGCTCTGTGGGGATTGGAGTTGCCAGGTCCTTATCTGGAGCCACCCCTAGAGACACGGCTGGCCGGGACGCCGCTTGACTTTCACCCCGGGGTGCTCAGCGAAAGCCCTCGGACACGAGGGGTGGGGGAAAAGATGGAAGCTGTTAGAGTTCAGATGTTCATGCCCTGCTCCTTTGACAGCTCTTGTCTGTAAGTGGCGCTTTGCCGGAGCGACGGCACCGTGAGCAGATTGTGTGATTGATTTGTTGTGATGGAGGTTGTGTTCTGGGAGTTAAAAGTACCGTGCTTGGGAGCTGGCCACTGTCTTCTGCAGAGCCACAGGAGCTGTGGCTGACCAGCGGAGATCATGACTTTCAGAAGGGGAAGACTTATAAAATACTCCACGTTTAAAAAGAAATTACTAACATATATACATCGCTCTCTCTCCCCCCCCCCCCCCCCCCCCCCCCCTTCTGAAACTTCATGTCAAATGCACATTTGGGCTAATGGAGGTTCGGTTTAGGCATAAAAAGACTTGGTGCGTTATAGTGATTATTATATAGAAGTCTTTGAGGGTACTCTCGGTTTGCAATTATTCATCTCCCTTTTAACAGGAACAGTAGTAAAGGATTTTAAAATGTGACCTTTGCGGCTTCTAGGTTGAACCTCTAGTTTTACCTTGTTCCTTAATCTGGTGGTGATCAAGCTTTCCAAGCTATGCTGCAAGCTGTGTCCCCAAGTAAATGGGCATTCAAGCAGATCAACTTACGGAATTTTATTAAGTCAATGCTCATGCAAAAGCCACCTCCAGAGCTTAATAATTATTTACTGAGTGCTCCTGGGTCATGAGAGAGGTTTTCATTAAGTTCAGAAAGCATTATGTTCAGCAGCTTGTGAAGGTGTGTTTTAAAGACAGGAAGAAAAATGGAAAACTACTAAATGGTGTACAGCTACTTAAAAAAATTCTTAGCTGAGGATTAAATGAAGTTGTTTTTTGGGGGGTTTGGTTTTGTTTTTTGGGGTTTTTTTTTTGTTTTTTTTTTTTTTTAAAGGCAAGTGTATCCACTGAATTAATTTGATTTGTAATTCAACCCTTAGCTCCTGGATAGTAATTCTGCATGGTGGATGGTTGAGGGTTTTTTCTTCCTTCCCCCTGCTGACCAGGTGCGTGCAGTGCATTCGGGAAGATGGATGGATGCCTGTTGGGTCGAGGGCTGTTGTACGGGTGCAGCCTGTGGTGTAGGGTAAGCAGTGCTGCTGCAGGAGAGCAGCTGTGAGCTGGTGTGGGTCAGGATAAAAAAAAAACACTGGAGGGACAGAAAAACGTTTACCTTGATGATGGAGCAGATGTAACACCAGGCAGCATGTCTCTTCGAACATGTAACCTTCAAACATGGAAATCGTCTTTCATATATAGGCCTGAAACATAGTCCTTGCTTTATTATAAAGGCTGATAAAGGTCTCCACACCGTTTATGTTATTGCTGTGTCCTTGGCAAGAAAGGACATACCAGGGTGCCAACTGTTGGTTTGTTGGTTTTTTTTTTCAACATTGATACTTTAAGCAGCACTAGCCAGTTGGCGTGGTGAGTAGAGCATCGCTGTAACCCACAATCAGTTATTAAATTTTAGGAATGAAGTACAAAGTGCTCCAGGGAAAATGCCCTCGTAGTTTTCTTGTACTTAGAATCCCTTGCTTTAGCTGAAGATAGGGGAGAAGAGATTAAGTAGGGGTCATTTTTGTTGTTTGTGGGGTTTTTGGTTTTGGGGGTTGGGTTTTTTGGACGGCAATCTGGCTCCCTCTTGCTTTTATTTTTTTTCTTTTGGTATCCTTCCATTTTTCCGTCTCCCCCCTCTGTGGCAAACAGCAATGGTGGCTGGCGGGTTAAATGCTGCTACAAGTGTTGTTGCTTCAGCCACATATTTAGTACTGGCAACAAAAAGTTTCTTGAGGCTTTACTGCTTGGTAGAGAGACTGAAAACAAAATCTGGACAAACAGACTTTAGTTTTGAGGAAACTCTAGTGGTCATTGAACAGGAGGGGTGTTGGAAGGGGAGCTGTGCAGTGGTCTCTTCTGATAATACCTTCTGGAGGTCAAGCCAAATATTTGAGTTGTAACGTTGGCAACCTCTCATCTGCTTGCTTTAGAGATCACGATAGTTTTATGCTAATGTTAGATCCATAAATGCGGATGCCTTTCTTTTCTCTGTAAATAATTATGAATGGGATAAGGGTAAGACATGAAACACAAGCATTTAAATCCCGTGTTGTTTCTTACCTCTGACCTCCGAGATCTGGTGCAGCTCAGTGGATTTCTTGTGGTGCTAAATCTGCTTTTCTTGGCTGATTTTCTTTGTGGACTAACCCATTAACAAACAGTTGGCACAAAGAGAGGAGAGCAACAGCCTCCCTCTTGTGTGCCATTTCTCTGCTTAGAGCAGGGCAGTCAATCCTGCCAGAGCAAGTGGTTTTGAAAGCTCTTTTTAATGCATTTTATTTGATTCTTGTTCATCTGTGTTTGAGGAAGCTTTGGGTCTGAGGAGTTGGTCTGTGTTTTTAATTATTGTAATTTGTCTAAGAAACCTTACACTGGAGGTTTTTCTTTTTTTCTTTAAAAAAAGCAACAAAATTCTAAAACAGTAATTAAAAAGCAAAGCTGAGTTAAATATTTTTTTCCAGTTCAAAATCTCCAGGGAGGTTTCTTAACAAATACATAGCTAATGCAAAATAATGTTTGTAAACCCGACAACTCGTGTAAATAATGCATGTGAACTAGATAACTTGTTTGATCAATTTATAAGAATCTTAAAACAAAACTGACCAACAAAAGACTAGTTTGTCTTTTTGCCCAAGGAGACAGAGGTAAAATAATCAGTACCCATCTGGGAAGGTGGATAAGGCTTTAAAAGGTATGGTCTCTGTAATCTCTTGAGTTGACGGCAACAAAATCAAACTTGAATGTAGTCTGATCAGTTGCCTTTTGTTATGCAATGGCCATCTGCATTATAACTTATGTATGCAGTAACTAACATTTCCCAGGCATCTGAGCAAAGGATATGTAATTTAAACTTATTTAATAAAACGTTATCGCTTCATGATTAATTGGATTGGCACAAGACACTCATAACTAATAACTCTCAGTCTGTATTACACTATGCTTATTAGACTGCTAATGGATAACTGGTTTAATCATATGTCAATTAAAGGGATGAGTTGGTTTCATTTATTGCAATTAAATGATATCTATAAACCATGTTTGCAGGAAGTATCTAAATCACATCGTGTATCAGTTGTGTGTGTGGGCTCTGTTACCGACTCTACATAATCTGGGGGTGAATCAGCTCACGTATGAGAGTTTTGCATCCACGTGTCGAGGTTCTGGGCCGTACTGTGGTACGTGGCACCATGCTTGATCACAGGAGAAGATCTGCCTGTGCAGCAGCACATAAAGGTCAAGAAGCTTTAAAAATATGAATTTTCAAAATTCTCTTGATGAAGCCTTTGACATAACAAGTTTCTAATTGCTTTTTTGATTGGAAAACTGAGTTTCTGACAAACCTTCTCCTGTTTGCTCTCCGGAGGGTACACAGTGATGACACCCAAACCATCTTCCATTCCACCTCAGAGCTTTGCGCGGAGCGTCCTGCAGTTGAGAAGAGGAGCAGACGCGGTGGGGAAGGGAAGCTGGGCAGGAGGACGGTCCGTGTTGTGCATGGGACAGGCTTAGAGGAGGAGATACCGAAGTTTCAAACAGTTTTCCACGTTTGATCAGTGGAAGGAGTGCTGGTGCGGTGAGACCACCCTGCCCGCGGGAGGAGCTTTACAGCCCCCGGGGGACGAATAACGGGAAATCTGCGTGGCAGGAGCTGTCTTGTGTTTGTCCAGTCTCCTTTGCAGTGCTTGTGACAGGAGTATCTGGTCAGGCAGGCAGGTGTTGCGCAGCAGCTTTTATGCCAGATAAAAGCATTATTTCAACTCAAATATGTTGATGGCAGTAGCTGCGGTCTGGCAGTAAGTTGCTGCCAGAGCTGCCTGCGTTCAAGGGCTTGTGCGCCTCTATTCCGCCTATAATTGTAACGTGCATAAATATGAGAACGATGTGTCCGCTGAGCTCGTGGCTCTGTTGTAGCTACGCTGGTTTCTGTCTTCTTTGAAATAAGGATGAGCAAGACATTCAGTAATCTCCTCTCAAGGTTTTCCTTCCCTCTCATCTGGCCACCAAAATCTGGTGTTCTGGATGTGAATATGATCAGACTCTTCTTCCCCTTGCTGGTGTCTTCTTTTGATACTTGTTTAAAAAGTACATTGCCCGACCTTGCACTACCTACCTAATTACATCTAAGCCATTTTTTTCCCAGTGAATAATTAAAATACTGAGCAGAATTGCAAAAGAAATAAAACTTGGAAGAGTCTCTGCTCTTTGGGGAAGAATTTGGCAGAACAGCATTTTCTGGGACTATTGTTTCTTTTAAAGACGCAATACTTGCAGCTTTTGTTGACAATTTTCAATCAACAGTAGACCCCTGACTCATCTGCAGGAAGCTGTAAGGAGAGTTGTTGGTGTGAGCAGGTACAGTAATCGTGTGAGCAATATGAGGTTTCTAGCAGGGGCTGTTTGAAATGCCATGGAAATAATTTCTCCCTTCCTTCTCTCTCGCATTCCCCAAAATTTTAGTATATGGGAAGGTTCTTCTGAGATGTTTTTTAGCACACTTGGCTTTGGTAGGCAGAGAAACAGTTCAAAATGAAAGAAGGTGGGAGGAACTGCTGGGTTATGAATTTTGCAGAATTAGGTATCTGTAAAAAATGCTGGTAACACACAAATGAGAATCCTGCTTAGTGTGATACAAAATAAGCTTTTCCTCAACATGAGGAGAATGAATCCTCTCTTAAAAGCAGCATTTGAGTGCCTTTTTTTGCTCATCAATTACAGTGGTCTGCAAAGTGGGGTGTGTAATATTATTGGTGGGCAGGAAGAAAATATTAGCACTTCAGTAATACATGTTTGTAATTCATAAATAAATAAATATACATATATTGGGGGTGCATGCTCAAATATTTTTTCCTTGTAGCAGCGCGTGATCAAAAAAAATGGGAGACCACTGACCTACAACTGTCCTAGTCATGGAAATAAAGCATCTCCTCAGTTTAGAAATGTGCAAGTGGTTCAGATGTGCAGCCAGGAAACATGCTGCTGGGTTTAGATGTGAGAATGCTTCACCCTTAATTGAAAGGGTGGTGTTTTTTACAAGTATCACAGTCAATGACTTGTCTTGAGCAGCTAATTAGTACGATTATTCCACAGCTGCATTAGTTTCACCACAAAGGTTTTCTCTTGTTTTATCAAAAGGATCAGTGTCTCTGTGAATGTTTCAACCTGACAGGTCTTAAATAGCAAGATGGTCCCCTGCCTCCCTGCCCCCAAAATGCGTGCTCTGGAAAAGCGGAGTTTGATCTCTTGGGGGACTAAGTGTGGGTTCTCCTTTTTCGTTTCTACTCTGAACTGTTTTCAACATCAGTCCTAAACAAAGCTGGAAAACTTCCAGCATTGCTGGCTCCGGTTGTCCAAGCGCAAGTAGCTCTTGGTGCCTCAGCCTCCAGGCGAGACCTGGAAGGGATGCTTGCTTATGCACTCCTTTGCAAGCTGTCCGGTCAGCATCCCACAGGTAGCACCGAAACACCGGAGCCAGAGGTGGGATTTTCAAGAGCAATCTCCTCCTAGAGCGGGAGGGTTACTGCTGGCTTCCCCAGGCACGGCCCTGCATCCTTTTTGCCTAATGAGCCCTTTCCTTCCATGGGCTGACAGCAATCAGGTCAGAATCAGAAACCAAATATCCTGAATTATAGGCACCGTAGCTCTTTCTTATATGGAGTCATGTATTCTTACCCGCTTCCAACATCCTTCCCTCAAAGGATGCGCAGCTTGGTATTTACATACCCTCGTTGTTCCGCCTTATGTTACAGAAATATCTTATGAACGGGTTTTAGTTCTGAGGGCTAATAAAATGATGGGTTGCTTCAGAAGGTTTCCCTGCAGGCCATGGCAAAGTCCCATGGTTTGTCCCATGCTGTCTGGTAGGAAGCCCTGCTGGCCAGTGGCTTGGAGATAGCTCTTACGTGGTGAAGCAGTGAGCTAGCTTGGGCCAGCGTGATATGCTTTATAAAGTGTGACTGAAACAAGCCGTTATTGTTGTTTTTTCTGCCTGTTCTTGTATGTCACTGTGCTTGGAAGATCCTGGTAGGCCTCAAGTGGGAGTTGGGTTGGGTTTTTTTGGGTCTGGTTTCTAGCTATGAAGAGTGTCGCCACCAGCGAATCCAACCCCGAGGTAGTATTTTGCAGAAAATAACTGAACTTTACGTTTTGCTTTCCTGGGAGAGGTAGATTTATTTCATCTATTTATTTTTGAGCTAGATCGTTAGACCTGGAGCATTATCTTATACCTATCATTGGACTTGATACAGTCCTTTATTACTTTTTAAGAAAGGCATATGAGTGCCTGCTGCTATCCGTTAAAGCATTTATTCTTCTCGTGGATGGTTGCTGTAAAAATTGAAACAGCAAATAGCACTTTACAGCTGGATATTGGCGCTTGGAAGTGGTTAGCTGCAGCCAAGTTAAGGCAGCCTAATGTGGCTACTAAGTACCTGAAGTAGGTCGGCTCCGAATTCCCCCTCGCATGGTGCAGCGTATCCTCACCCATCCCGCCCCACGTTCTGGTGTGATTCTGCAAGCTCCGGCTGCTGGAGCCGCGATCCCGCTTGTGGAAGCTGAGCTGTCTCTCTCTGGTCTTCCCACAGCAATTCCGAGCATCCTGGCGCTTCCAAGCCTCCCTTAAGCTCCTCCAGCATGACCTCACGAATCCTGCTACGCCAGCAGCTCATGCGTGAGCAGATGCAGGAGCAGGAGCGTCGGGAGCAGCAGCAGAAGCAGCAAGCAGCCCAGTTCATGCAGCAGCGCGTACCCGTCAGCCAGACACCTGCCATCAACGTCAGCGTCCCCACCAGCCTGCCCCCCGCCACCCAGGTACCCATGGAGGTCCTCAAGGTACGCCGGTCTCTCTGCCTTTCCGTCTAGGAGCTCTTGCTCATCTAAGCGTACTGTATTTAATAGGGATGTGGCTATAGGGATTTTCGGCAATGAAATTTTGCAAACGAGCTGCGCTCTGGCTTGATTTGCAGCTTGTTTTGGCGTCCTGGTAATGAAAAACGGAAAAACTTTTTTGAAAATTTTGTGTGACTTTTGTTTTCGTTAAACTTTGAGATCTCGGGAGGTAGGTTATGTTACAAAATAATGTTTCCATCATTTTCCCTTTGGAAAATACTTCTCCATCTTTCTAGTACTTAATTATTTTCAAAAAGAAGAAATTATTAATAGATATTCAAATCAGTATTTTGGTTTTTAAAAGAAAACCATGAAATATTTTTGTAAAATGGAGTCAAAACTCATTACAAAAGAGCTCCTCAGAAAGCCTTAATCTGAAATAAGGGTGAGTTTCCAGCCTCTTGCAATGAGCCTTTGTAATCCTTTTTTGCTTAAATGACTTGTTTGCTATTAGTAGCTTTGGATTCCTTGTCCTACTGGAAACTGTAGGAGCTTGTTAGTATCCCTCTGTCAAAGGGGATGTAGCTTGCTAATTACTCGGAGAAAAACGTGAACAGTTATAAGAAAAGAGATAATTTCATGCACTGGTTAAGTCCAAGTAGAGTAAAGCAATGTGAAATGTGTGAGTAAAAGAATGTAAAATGCTTTGGAGAAATTTGCTGACATATTTCATGAAAATAAAATTGTCATTAGTTCTGAAGAGTTATCTATTTGCTCTGCATTATTGCTAAATCTTTTTATTACAGTCTGATGTTTAGTAACCGCTTTCAGTCGGTAAGCATACTCTTACCAGATAAGTTAACTGAGCTTGGTTACAATCCGCTTGTAGTTTGCTCATCGCTGTTATATATCAATAATACGTATTCAAAGATTTAGTTTTAAAATAGACTTGCAGGCTCAGGACTTTGAGGCAGTCTGTGTGACGGGTTTATGGAGAAAATGTAGAGTGCTTTTATTTATTGAATCTGCATTACGGTAGTGTGTTGACTGTGCCAAAACCAATATTTAATTGGGACACTAGAGTCTTACTTAAGTATGGTCTATGATCTAGGAGCAAAAAGGCGACAGCTGAATTTTGAATTATATACACACACACACACTTCCATCAAAAAATAAATATGATATACTTTGAGTGTGTGTGCATGTGCATATAGTAAGGAGTCCGAAATTGACTGGGAAGAGCTATTTTGTCTAACATTTTTGCATTACACACAATGTTTGTGTATAACAATTTGTTAAACTTGTTTCCAGGTTATGACACTGTAGTTATAATTCAGATCTAGCAGATGTGTAGGTGCTATGAAATAGTTTTTTGTTTGTAATGCACTTAGTTAAATAAGCATATACATTTTTATACCCTTTCACCCTATCAACCTAATATGTTATCATGTGAATTTTAGGGTTTTTTTAAACCTCTCTGAAATCTTGTAGGGAAGTGTTTATTTTCTGATGATATTTTAGTGTTAAGGAACAAGTGTCATGTCTTGAAGAAGCACTAGCAGTTGTCTATATTGTTCGTTTTACAATTGCCTCTTTTTATGAGAGAGGAGAGGAGGCAGCCCTTTATTTCTGAGAGACAAACTACAGAAGATGCTGCAGCCGAAAGGTGATGCTTGGTTATTACCAATGGGGTTACTATGAACTGGCTTGTCAGAGGATTTGTATGCAAATCTGTAATGAGTTAGAGCATTCCTAGGGAACTTCACGCGAAGGACTTGAACCTGAATCCTCATCCTTCACGATTGCAAAAGAAATACCTGTCCCCTGTTTTGTCCTGATAGAGGAGAGTCTCCTGGAAAGGAGGAGGACACCTCCCCTGCACTCGTCTTTGGCCCAAGTGGCAGTGAGCATGACCCTGTAGAGCAAAAAATTAAGAGAATATATCCTTAACTGGCTTGTAAATTAAAAGTAGTAACTGGCAAGAACTGCCTTTTTGGTGACAGAGAATTGCACGTTGAAGGTGATGATTGTGGAAATGTGAGCTGCCTGCTGGAACAAAATGATGCCTGTCTTCTCATCACCTGCATTTACATAAGTAACAGTCAAAATTAGAAAAAACAAGTCCTTTTGGTCTCTGCCCATGAGAGAAGAGTGACTGTTTTACATCGTTTTGTTGCTTGTGTTTTTGGTAGGCGAAAGCAGCTAAAGATTCATCCTTTTATCCTTACTGATAAAAGTGGGCCAGTTCTGTAACAAAAAAAATAGTATAAAATACCAGACTTGAAGTCATGATCTTGCTGAAAATTTACCACTGATCCTTCAGGAAGAGTAGGATTTGGCTGAAAGGTCCATATAATTTTGTTTTGGTGGTTGTTGGGGTTTTTGGGGGGTTTTGGGGGTTTTTTCTTGTTGTTGTTGTTGTTGTTTTTCTTTTCTTGTTAAATAGGTTATTTGGCTCAAAAGATGAGATTAACAATAAATCAGGATCTTCCTGGTGCCGATCTGCTGACAGCCAGCTCTGCCTGAAGTAACAGTGTACGGGTGACATCATTTCCCTGCAGCTGCTTTTTACACTTCAGTTGTTTTTTAGCTGTAGACAAATTTTCCATATGAGCTGTACAGAAGTGTTAATTAGATAAATAGGGAACTAAGTTGGTAACTTTATTATCCAGATGGTCTGGATTTAGTGACCTTAAAGAATGAGGTAGACAAAAAGGGGATTTTTATGTTTTCAGAAATGTTAATCTGCAAGGCAACTTTCTTTAAAAGAGATCTTTTTGAATATTACTTCATAAACAAATAAAACCAGATGTAGTAGTTGTTTTTGTTGTTGGTTTTGTTTGTTTGTTTTGGAACTCAGCATCAAAAAACACCACTCCAAACCTGTTGCATTTGTCAACATTTTGTGTTTTTAATTACATTGTGTGAGTTGCCCTTTCTCCCATATCTCCCAGCATGAGAGGGAAGATAATATTTCTGTGTCTGAGGATGGTAGTTTGGAATGACTAGTTTTAAAAGGAGCCAAAGGGGTTAATGAGCTTGATTTTATATTTGTTTTTGAGATGTTCATTTAGAAACAATACAGAAAGAAAGAGAAATACATACGAATCTATGTCACACTGCATAGGAATCTCCAAATTACATAATGTGGTATGCTCAAGGCCATATGAATAAATAGGATTTCATTTTCTTGAGTAATGACTTCTTATTGCATCACTTCTCTGCCAAGTAATGTAGCTTGGCAAGGTAGGAAATGACCTGAGTTGCTTTGTGCAGCCTAATTAAGAGATGGACTAGGAGCAGGTCTAACGCATTTGAAACAGTATCTCTTTGAATCTAATAGCAAAAGGAAGATTTGTTGCAGCTTTCAGTTATCCTCTGCAAAGCCGATGTTAGCTTCAGAGACGTACAGGCTGGTTTATCTTTAAGCACCTTTTCATCCATCTCCTGTTGGTAGTCGATGATCAACATCGATCACCTACAGAGATGTCACAAGAGTTTCTCTGCTTCTGCTGCAATTCAGCTTCTTGCTCTGCTTTGGAAATAGGAGCATATAGCCTAAGATGTTGATCGTTGGGGTAGTTCGAAGCCCTATCAATGTTGGATCAGGATCTGTTCCTGAGATACAAAGTAAGTTTATATTTTTATTTAAAAGAGCTCACTACTTCGCAAAGAGTTTGTCTCGAGATGTCTTCGGTGGGTTGTTTCATGGAGTAGCTTCTTCCATATGGGTCTATTTTAGTTTTGGGTACTTAATTGGTATTAAGAAGCTGTTCTTTTTGTTGTCGTCGATTGCAGTTATTCTCTCATCTGGTAAGAGTCCTTATCTGTTGGAGCAGAAGCACCGCTGCAGATCTCAACTTCAGTATTCCAGAGCTGATCGCTGGGAACTGGTCGCTGCATTTCTGTAAGAAGGGTTAGCTAGGACTTGAGGAGGTCGTGCATCAGGTCCCTGCCTGTGGTCCCTGAGACCTGATGATAGGTTAGTCCTTTTGCTCCTCAGCCATCCATTTGGAAAATATTACTGCTATTAATCCCATACCTTGTGGAGTTAAATTTGGTAAAGGTGGTGAAATCCTTGACTATTATTAATCGAGAGAATAGGCTCTTGGTTTGTGGTGAAGCTGGTCTGTTAATCAGCTTCCCCATAGCTGTCTTGGACTTCATCTTTACCATCTTCCTGCTTGCTATCGCGGAATTAGCTTTTGTCCTGTAGTCTTAGCAGCTGTCTGTTGACAGTTATTCAGGGAACATCTCCTGTTGATGTGATCGAGTTGCTGGGTTCTGCTTTTTGTGTCTTCTGTGCCCCCCTCGCCCGCTCCCAGCCTTCTTTCCTACCAAGCAACTTGCAGGATTCTTGTGATCAGTGAGTGATCTCCTGCCTCCTGAGTTACTGGCAGCAGCAGGGCAACTGCCTGCCTTTCTGACGGGCAGTGATACCCTAGCCTCATCCATAGGGTAGTTGTCTTCTACATCAGTCCAGGCAGCTAATTTTGCTTTTTTTTTTTTTTTTTTTTTCAGCAGGCAGAAGCACTGACTTGCATGACCAGAGTTTTACGTAATGTCCCTCTGGCATCTTCACTAAAGCTGCACTGTAGCAGTGTGGGTTTGAGGTTTACTACCCTTTACAAGCTTTTAAGAAACACAGAAGGAAAAGGATTTTCCTTCATCTAAAACATCTAAAAGATCCAGAGGAAGAAACCAAGGAATCATTCTAAAGGCTGAAAGTACCAGCCATCATGCCTTATTCTCCCAAGCAAGACATGCAAGATCCTCTACTTGTTTTTTGGGTTAGTCTTTGAGAAGTTCTGCTGATAGAAGTAGTCAGACCTGAGATTTTGATTAAGGCTTGCCTTTGAAGATGGCTCTTTTCTTTTTCTTTTTTTTCTTTTTCTTTTTTTCTTTTTCTTTTTTTCCTTTTTCTTTTTTTCCTTTTTCTTTTTTTCCTCTTTCTTTTTTTCCTCTTTCTTTTTTTCCTTTTTCTTTTTTTCCTTTTTCTTTTT